TGGATGTCATCAGGACATCCAGAAGTTTTGGAAATCCAAAATTAATATTTTAAATACAATATATATGCCGTGTCCGTTAGATGCCTTATCGTTGGACATCCGGCGGAGGTAGGAATCTGTGACAATTTTATAGGAAAATGGACGTGCTTTACCGACACACAAGAACGGTGTCACTATAGCAGAATAGCACTGTCACTGATTCCAGTTCTGTCACCCCAGTTATTCAAGATAACCTAAAATCAAAACATTAACTGAATCAGAATGCAGGACCTAATGAAAAAGTCGGCAATAGCAGCCTCAGCAAGCAGCAAGTAAACTCAGGCTCGGATTTAGGGAAAGAGGACAACAGTGATAATGATTGGCAACAGCATAGAAAGCGATCTCGTAAATTTATGATCGGCAGTAATGAGGAAATGCAGGCTGTCAAAACAGGACCCAGATTTGAGTCACTTCATGTAAGTAAACTTACTCCGTATACCGCTGCAGCAGATCTAAGGCAGATTTTAGAGCCCATATTTAAGAATGTACAGTGCGAGCCTCAGCCATCAAAACAAGCCCAAATTTATGCTTCTGTGAAGGTGACCATACGACGGGATGAGTTTAGAAATGCTTGGAAGAGAGAAGTATGGCCATCCGGCGCAATTGTAACTCATTTTTTAGCCAAAAAGAGGGCTCCTCAGGAGCAGAATCCAGTCCGGATAAAATAAAATCCCATAATTTAAGCTTATATTATCAAAATGTACGCGGTCTACGGACAAAAACCAATATTCTTTATACCAATAATATTACCGAAGATTATGATATCATCATGCTGACTGAGACGTGGCTTGTAGATGGAATCGGAATATCCACAGTGAGCAATTTGTTCACATGAGTGTTCCTAGAGGAAGCTACTTGGGGACATTGCTTTTTCTTATTTTCATTAATTCTCTACCGGATTGTTTGAGATACTCTTTCGGTCTGGGTTTTGCAAACGACTTTAAATCCTTTAGCGTCGTACGCACCTTCAGGGATTGCCTAGAACTGCAGGAAGATCTTAATGCGGTCTCCAATTGGTTTAAGGACAATGGTATGTTTCTGAATGAAGAAAAATGTGTCTTGTCCTTTACACGTAAACTAAGTTTTATTGATTGTTAGTACAATGTAAACAAGCGCGCTCTATTCAGAAAGACAACATGTAGAGATCTGGGAGTGCATCTGCAGGCGAGTTTGAGATTTGGTGAACATTATACAAAGATAACAAACAAGTCATACAAGATTCTGGGGTTTGTAATTAGGAATTCTAAGCATTTTCATATAGATACTACAATTCGTTTGTATAATGCATTGGTGAGACCACACATCGAGTATGCATCAGTCATATGGGCTCCTCAAGCTAAATCAAGCATTAATTTAATTGAAAAAGTACAGAAAAGGTTTCCTAGACACTTGTATCTTAGAAGATACAATGTATATTCTTACCTTATGCCAACAACACACTTGGTTATGATCTTTAATATGCAGTCGTTAGAGCAAAGAAGAGCCATGCATTGTGTTTTATTCCTGTAAAATGTTGTCAGTGGTGTTAAATTAACTTTGTAAGATTTTATGTGCCAAAGATTAATTTGAGAGCAAAGATTTGTGACCTTTTCTCTTGCAGTCCTTTTAGTATATCCCCTATAAACCACATGCAGAGTCAATGTAATAAATTATTGAAAGATTGTTGTAATTTGGATTTTTTAACTGCAGTGTAAGGGATATTAAAAATATTTTAAAAGTTTTAAAAGACAGTTTTTAAGTGATTTTTAGAATTAATGTCTAGCATATTGTAAATGTATCTGTTTTTAGGTTAGTTAGTTTGTTTAGCAGTGTTAGATTAATATAGATTTTTGTTAAATATTGTTACTGTAGTAATAAGCGCTCTATCACAGAATTACTGCTTAGGTGGTGTTTGTTGGAGTATTTCAATAAATAAATAAATGATACCGCCCTTTTAGTACCTAGATAGCACAACAGAAAAATTATTTCTAATTAGTTAACTAGCCAAAATGTTTGGCAATAAATGAATGTTATCTAATGCCTGAATTATTTTATTACCAGTAATTCGTAGAAAATCGCCTCACATTGAAGTTCTGTTCCATAGTACAAAACAGAAGATCTCACACAAACTATTTTTGGTAATAAAACGTTTTAATTAGATTTAATTTTTCTTTATGTTTACAATATGTTTGGGCACGTTTGAAACACGGTAGATTGCGCGCACTAGCCTTAGAACCTACCTGGAATGCTTTCGTAGATACACGACACCAGGAACTTGAAATATTTTTAAAAGAACGATGCCCAGTGGTATTCGAGAATATTCAATTAAAAAATACGTATTTAAAACTATTAGTGAAATTTGGCTTACTGGTCTGTTAGGGCTTATAATTTTTATATTTCAAATTTTGATCCACCTTTCTTTAAGAGGCACTCAAGCCGGATACTCAAATAAATTTGCGAAGGTCTTTAAAAATTTGTATATCGCAGATTTAAATACGCTGGGCAAAACGTTATACAAACAGCAGCAGAAAAATGTTATATAAATCCGCCAGATGTAAATGTAAACTATTTAGACTAATAAAGGAAGCAATCAATAAATATTGCATGAAGAAGGAAAATAAAGTCATACTGAAAATTAACCACAAATAAATCCTGTAAAACCGAGTGTTATTGCAATTAAATATAGAGCTGAACTAAAGAATCAATAGATCTGTCTCATGTTACCCAGATGGGCAATAAACTAACTTCAACTGTTAAACTTTTAGTTTTTTTTTTAATTGCTGTAAAAGTTTATTCCAACTCCATTAGGAGAGCGCAGTAGGCGAAAAATGTTTTCCTCTTGGGTCGTATCGGATTTTATAACACGACACTATAGCTTCCAACTTCCTAACTTTCCTTGTTCGTTCTAATACTGTAAAACTGGAGTAACTCCTTATTATTGGAAGTAATGGATGTACAGAATGCGCTTCTTTAAGTGCACTATTTTATTGTAAAATGAATTAATTGATGGCTTTACATTGGATTTATTGTTACGTTCTTTGGCAAAATTTGCAGCTCTATTGCGGAATTAGATAATAAAAGCATACCCATGAGGGCTAATATTATCAACGTTATGTTCGTTATTTACAATCTGGCTTTTGTAAAGTCAACTAAATTTATTTTGCCATATTTTATGAACGCTTGTATCTTTTGTTTTGGAAGCGAGAATCAATAGTTCGCTTTATCACACCGAACAGAAATTAGATGATACAGATTGTAAC